CCCAGCTGAAGCCCTGCCAGGCTCCTGCAGTTTGTGGCATGGACACTGCTGCATTCGCTCTGAAGCCCAGAGGTTCTGCAGAAACCTGACCACGGCGAAATCGACAACACCGGAAACCAGAAAGAAGACTGAGTACGTGGACCCCTTCACCCTTTCCCTCCTGTGGCCGGATTTCCCTTCCTGCTGCCCTGGAGCACCCTTTTAGGGAGCCAGCAGAAAGTTCTTCAGGGCAACCTCGCACTGCGGGGCCATGTGGGAGGGAGGCTGTGCTCCCCAAATACCGCAAACCCTCTCTCTTAGCTTCAAATACCGCCTATATCACCAGCAATTCCAGAGTGTCCAGGGCTTTCTTCCCGGGGCTATAGATTCTCTTACCCAGGTGTGTACCCGCTTCTCCACCCGGAAGCCACGCAGGCCACACAGATGCCATATGGTGGTCTTACTCCCCAAGCTGGCTCCTCCGCCCGCATTTCCTACCTCACCAAAGAGCGACCGACCCCCAGTGGCTCATCCCAAAAATCTGGGAATCATCTTTGATACCTCTCTCTGTCTTGCCTCTGCCTCTGTCTTGCCCCTGCCGATTCCTGATAATGATTAAATTCTATAGAGTTTACTTCCAAAACGCCTCTTGAATCCACCCATATCTCCATATCGCTGCCATCTCCTCCAACCTGTCCCAGCCACCACCATCAGCCAGTGGCCCGATCGCCGGGATCTTGTCTCATCCTCCCCCCAGGCCATTGTCCACCAGTGATCTTTTTGATATGTTGCTTCATCCTTCTGCTTAAACTCTCCAGTACTTCCCGTTATTTTCAGGATAAAACCCACTGATCCTCCTGTACCCCGCTGGATGAACCACCCCCACCCCCAGCCTCACCTGGAGCCACACGTGCCCCTCTTATTCTGCGCTAGCAGAACAGCCTCTGTCTTCCACACAAGACTGAGCTCCCTTTAGCCCTACAGCAGTCACACAGACCGGAGCATGCTCCTGCCTCCCTAGGACTGAGGTAAAATGTCACTACTTGACACAAGTCTTCCTTCCCTCCAAGACCAGATCAGGTCCCTGCACCCCATTTCTCTTCCATGGCATTGTCACAGCTGTAATTAAAAACTCACTTGTATAAGATATTTATCTATCATCACCCTGTAACTTCACGAAGGCAGAGGTTACTGCTGGTTTTCCTCCCTACTCTGATTACGGGCCCTGTACCATGTCTGGCAGAGAGTGGAAACTCAGAAAATGTGGGTGAAGCCTGGCCTGAAGAACACCAACGACCATCACAGACACATCCGTTTGACTTTCTACATTCATTTCAGGTGGATATTACATACCCATTTTACAGATGATCATATTGACTTCTATTGAACTTACATGATTTACCCAAGGGCATGAAGATAGCAAGTATCAGGATTTAAAGTCAGGACTCCAAAATCTACTTGGTAATAGTTCCCTGAAAATATATCCTTGAGGCACAAAAATCACTTGTTTTAGCCCAACTGACCCTCCACTTTCAACTCCGTGGCCACTCTGTTCTTCATCCCATTCTTTGCCATTTCCTTCAGGATTATATTCACAAGCACTTCTTAAATCCCTGCATGTAAGTGACCACGCACTGAGCGATAAAAAAGTGACCAAGACCAAGTTCTTTACCTGAAAGATACCACAGTTTGTTAGAAGTAACCACTTTAGTTCTCCAACCTTGAATTTGTTGGAACTGCTTCAGCTGTAAGTTACATAAACTCAACTAACACTGGCTTCAGCAAGAAAAGGAATATATCGGCTCACATAAACTGCAAAGTCCGGATGTAGTTAAGCTTCAGGCATGGTTGTATCCAGGGGCTTAGTTAGTGTCCTCATGATGCAGTCACTCTCTGTCTTCATCTCTTGGGTCTTCTTTTCTCTACTGACTTTATTCGTGGCCAGGCTCCCCGCTTGGTGGCAAAAATGGCTTCAGACAGCTCCAGGCTCCCACAGTTCTTAGTGCCTACTATCACAGAAAGACAGAGACTCTGCCAGGAGCTGAGGGTGATGCTTATCAGCCCACTTCTGGTCATGAGCCTCTCCTTGCATCAATCACGGTGGCCTGGGGGATGGACTATTCTAGGGACAACACACTCATTTAGAGCTGGAGTAGGGTCAGTACCACACAAATCACATTTCTCCAAAGGGAAACTGGCATGCCCTTACAGAAAGGCGAAAGTCAGAGATTCCCAACACTCTTGCTCTTGGTTTCTTGCCCTCACCCACTCCTTTCCTGGGCCCCCCTCATTCCCCCTTGTTCCTGTCTTACAGGCTTTGCACTTGCTGACCTGTGCTGAGAAGCCCTGTCTTCCAGATCTTTCCATGACTGGTTCTTACACTTCAGTTCTCCACTCTAATGCCACCCTTTGCAAGAGGCCTTCTCGGACCTCCCTGAAGAGCCACTCAGTCATTCTCTCAGACTTCACTTTGTTTATTTGCTGGATCTAATGGAGCGGTTGAGCAATTATTACTTTGTTTACTCTGTGTTTTGCTCTCATCAGAATGTAAACTCTATGCAATCGGGGGGATTCCCAACTATTCTGTTCACTTGTTGAATCTGCACGGTTCAGAACAGCGTTCAACACGAAACAGTGCTCAATAAATATTGGTTGGATAAATGAAAGGAATCTGTGGTGGCATCTAGTGAGAGACCAAGGAGAGCTTCATGGAAGAGGTGGCCCTTAAAGAAAGTGAATAATTTTTATTGCGGTAAATATATATAACATAAAATTTTTACCATTTTAACCATTCAAAGTATACAATTTAGTGGTTTAAATATGTTTGCAATGTTGTGCAATCATCATCACCCATATCCTTTTCCAGAAAGTTTTCATCTTCTTAAAATGTTTCCCCTTTCCTCCCAGTCCCCTGGCACGGGGGGACTCTACTTTCTGTCTCTATGAACTTGATGAGCCTAGGTACCTCATGTAAGTGGAATCATACAATCTTTGTCCTTTATGGTCTTGCTTATTTCACTTTGCATATTTTCAAGGTTCATTCATGTTGTAGCATGTGCTACAATTTCTTTTTAAAACTGAATAATATTTGAACAAAGGAAAAAAAAAAAGACAAACCGAAAAAACAGACTCTTGACAATAGAGAACAAACTGCTGGTTACCAGAGGGGAGGCAGGTGGGGGATGGGGGAACTAGGTGATGGGGATTAAGGAGTGTACTTGCCAGTGATGAGCACTGAAAAATGTATAGAATTGTTGAATCACTATATTGTCCACCTGAAGCTAATATAACACAGTACGTTAGCCATACTGGAATTAGAAATTTTTTAAACTTTTTACAAAACAGAATTGTATTCCATCATATGTATACATCACATTTTGTGTATTCACTCACCTGTTGACGGATACTGGGGTTGTTTCCATCCCTTGGCCACTGTGAATACTGCTGCTGTGAACATGGTCGTACAAGTTTGTGTTCGAGTCCCTGCTTCCAGGTCTCTGGGGCACACACTCAAAGGAGGAATTGCAGGATCGTACAGCAATTCTGTGGTGATGTGTAATTTTTTGAGGAACCACCGTACTGTCTTCCAGAGCGGCCGCACCAATTTGCATTCCCACCAGCAGCACATGAGCACTCCAGTTTCTCCATATCCTCGTCGGCACTTATTTTATTTTTCATTTTTGGGATCATGGTCAGCCTCAAGGGTGTGAAAGAGGGTGCAATTCTGACAGACAGAGGAAGGACAAGCCAGCCTTTCAGGCAACAGAGGCCTGGAGGGGCTCCGGTGTGCAGTGGATTGAGTCGCCCGCGGTCTGATGTCAAAATCCATGTGGGGTTCTGTTTACCTCCCTCTCCTGGAAACGACCGATTCTGTAGAGTATTGGCAAGCCCCTGCCTCCCCGGCACCTTCCAATGCCACTGCCGGGGTTCCTGTTGGCTCAGGTGTTCTGGAAGCCAGCGGCTTGCCGTGGGAGGCTGGGCCAGGGACCTGAGCACTGCCGCACGGGAGGTGAGCCAGTCACCCATCACAATAACCAGGGACTGTGACCAAAGCAGCCTGCATCTCAAGGACAGGTGTGGCAGTGCGACAAAGTGGCGGGACTCTTCACGCAGTGGGGCACCTGGAGTGGGAAGGGCAGGAGCATCGTCATCCTCTTGGCAGAAGGAGGGGTAGGTGCTGTTTGCACTGAAGCTGGGTCCCAGCCCCAGGAGGGGAGCTGTCCATGCACAAAACGGAGGGGACATAGGGACTATTTGAGGTCTGGCAACTGCCGTGCTCGGCCACAGCGCACTGAATGGAGTGAGGCTCAGGGCGGTGTTCCGCGGGAATGGAGTGGAGAACCAGTCAAGAACTGGGAATTCAGATTGCTCCCCAGTGCCCAGCTGTGAGGCTCCCCACTAGGACTTCAGGGCTGGGGAGTGAGGGGCAGGATTGGACGTATCTGCTGCTATTGTTCAGCTGGGAAAGCAGAGCCTCACGACTTTCTTCACCTTGGATACTCCCATCCCCACTAGAAAACATGGTTGGTGCTTCTGAATCAGGGCGCCTCTAAGTCCTAAGCCCGCAGCCTGCTTCTCCAGGGCAGCTCAGAGCCCTGTTCAGTGGGACCCGAGTGTTGGAGTCAGCTCATCCTGGCTCTGGGAGCCCATTCTGTGTACATTTGCGCAACCCCACATTAGTGACATTATGTCGATAGCCTGAAATGGGCCGTGGTGGGAGCATTTACACCCCAGAAACTGGTAAATGCCACCAACCACTGCTTATTTATTTGCCTCATAAAGGTGGTTATTAAAGATTTACCAGCACACTCCCTGCCCTGCTTGAGAGGTGAATCTGATGTTCTCATCAGCTCTGATTCCTTCTGGGACCTGCTCCTGCCCCTTTGTCCCAGGACCCCTGTCCACCTGCCCATTGACCCTTGCTGCTGCCATCAACCCCTGATGACGGAGGGGCTGATGGCTTCTCATGGCCCGTGGTGGAAGCAGGGCTAACCAACCTGTCTGTGTCTAGGTTGTCTACTATGGCAGGTGTGGTGTACCCCAGACAGGTGAGTGTTGTGGGTTTCTGTCGCCTGTGACCACCTCAAGGTTGAGCAGCTTTAGCAGACAGGCCCAGGCACCTTGGGCTCCCTCTGGTTATCATTCTGGAATAATGTGTGTACGTGTGTGTGTGTAATAGGCAGAGGAAAGTAATGATGTATGGTTTTCTGGGGGCTCACTTATTTATTCAGCATGCATTTAATAGGCACCTGTGGTGTGTCAGGCCCTGTGCTGGGCTTCGAGCCTGCAGAGATGCCAAAGATTAGGTCCTAATCTAGTATACTTCATTAAATCAGTTACAATTACCATGGTAAGTGCTGTAGTGAGGGATGCAAAATGTGCTGTGAAAGCAGAGGAGAAAGAGTTTAATTTGGGGGAGGTGAATAGAAGGGTGGGATAGATGTTTTGGGGGAGAAATTTAATCTGGGTTTTGGAGGATGTGTAGGAGTTTGTCAGTCCATGAGGAGTACCACTAGCATTTCTAGCAGGAGATAAGAGCATGCGCATCTGTGAAAAGTGGAGTGTAGTGAGGCTGGAGTTCAGAAGGCATGGAGGAGAGTCAAGCAGGGTAAGATGGCAAAGGTCAGTAGAAGCCAGATCATGGGGCCTCTGAATGCCAGGCCCAAAAGTTGGTCTTGGTCCTATGGGCCATGAGAAGCCATCGAATGCCTTTAGGTGGAAGAATGGCAAGATGAGGTCTCTTGTTTTGTAATCTCCCTTGCCCTTCAGGCCCCTGTGGATTTAGACACATACAAAAGCTCCTACATGGTTGACTATCAACACTACGGGAAGCACAAATACTCCAGAGTCACACCACAAGAGGTAAGAAGTTATTTGGTCTTGTCTTCTGTTCAGTCGCCCACTGAAATCATCTTTACTTCATCTTTATTATGTGTGGATATTGGGGGCACTTATTTAGAACAATATCTGATGCCAGGAGAGCTAAAGAAGTCTTTTATGTGTGTGCTTTATGTGTACGTTTTATTTTTTTATTTTTTTTAAAAAAATTTATTGTTATGTTAATCACCATACATTACATCATTAGTTTTGATGTAGTGTTCCATGATTCATTGTTTGTGTATAACACCCAGTGCTCCATGCAGAACATGCTCTCTTTAATACCCATCACCAGGCTAACCCATCCTCCCACCCCCTCCCCTCTAGAACCCTCAGTTTGTTTGTCAGAGTCCATTTTCTCTCATGGTTCATCTCCCCCTCCGATTTGCACCCCCTTCATTCTTCCTCTCCTGCTATCTTCTTTCTTCTTCTTTTTTTTTTTTTTAAACATATATTGCATTATTTGTTTCAGAGGTACAGATCTGTGATTCAACAGTCTTGCACAATTCACAGCACTCACCATAGCACATACCCTCCCCAATGTCCATCACCCAGCCACCCCATCCCTCCCACCCCCCACCACTCCAACAACCCTCAGTTTGTTTCCTGAGATTAAGAATTCCTCATATCAGTGAGGTCATATGATACATGTCTTTCTCTGATTGACTTATTTCGCTCAGCATAACACCCTCCAGTTCCATCCACGTCGTTGCAAATGGCAAGATCTCATTCCTTTTGATGGCTGCATAATATTCCATTGTATATATATATATATCACATCTGCTTTATCCATTCATCTGTCAATGGACATCTTGGCTCTTTCCACAGTTTGGCTATTGTGGACATTGCTGCTATAAACATTGGGGTGCACGTGTGTGTACGTCTTAAAAGGTACATCAGCCCTAAGTCATGCACACAAGAGTGTAAATGATATACATTCACAGTTTAAATAACATTGACAAAACAAACACCAGTGTACCTGTTATCAGCCAGCTGAATGAAAACATAGCACATTAGAAGTACCCTAGAGCCCCCAGGGGACCCCTCGGTGCTCCCACTCCTCCTCCCACCTCCAGAGGTAGCCACTCTTCTGAATTTTGGGTTAATCATTCCCTTGGGGGTCTTTTAAAAAAACAGTTTTACTCTGTATGTATCCCTGTAAACTGTTGAGGTTTGCCTTTTTGAGCTCTGTTACACATTGGATCATACTATTTGTACTCTGTGACTTTTACTTTTTGCCAAACATTATGTTATTTATAATATATTATTCATTTTCTGCTGGTTGTATTACATTGCATGAATACGCCACCATATATTTGTCCCCTCTGCTGTTGGACATCTGGGTTTTTACTTGTCTGCTACTTCTCCTATTGTCCCATGCTGCAATGCGGATTACACAGCCTAAGGCGCAGGAGTCCCCGGCCCAGGAGGGGAATTGCTTGTCCCAGGGAACATCGCTATTGGCCAAAGTGGCTGCGTCACTGGAGCAGGGGACAGTCTGTTCTGTGGCTCTCCAACCTTGCCATCAACTTGGTATTGAAAGACTTTCCAATTTTGGCTAATTTGGTGGGTTTGAAAGAATATCTTCTTGTGCTCATAATTTTCAATTCACTGCTTATTAATGAGATTCAGCATCTTTTCATATGTTTATGGATATTTATTATTCTGTGAGATGGCTGTCATGTCTTTTGCCTGTGTTTTTATTTTTATTTTTATTTTTTTAATTTTATTTTTTAAGATTTTATTAATTTAAGGGCGCCTGGGTGGCTCAGTTGGTTAAGCGACTGCCTTCGGCTCAGGTCATGATCCTGGAGTCCCGGGATGGAGTCCCGCATCGGGCTCCCTGCTCGGCAGGGAGTCTGCTTCTCCTTCTGACCCTCCCCCCTCTCATGCTCTCTCTGTCTCATTCTCTCTCTCAAATAAATAAATAAAATCTTTAAAAAAAAGATTTTATTAATTTATTTGACAGAGAGAGAGAGACAGCAAGAGAGGGAACACAAGCAGGGGGAGTGGGAGAGGGAGAAGCAGGATTCCTGCGGAGCAGGGAGCCCGATGCAGGGCTCGATCCCAGGACCCTGGGATCATGACCTGAGCCCAAGGCAGACACCTAAAGACTGAGCCACCCAGGCGCCCCTTGCCCATGTTTTTATTGGGATGCTTGTCTTTTTCTTCTTAATTTGTAGGAGTTCTGTAAATAGACATGTTTCATTTGTCAGTTACAGAAATGGCAACACTCTTCACAGGCTGTGGTCTATCTTTTCACTCCTTTTCAGTGAATAGAAATTTTTACTTTAATATAGTTGGATGTACCAGTCTTTCCCTTTATCATTTGTCTTTTTAAAATCTTGTTCAAGAAATCCTTTCCTATCTCCACGTAGCTCCACTAAAAATAAGAAAATCTGTACAAACAAAGATGGAACAATTTCTGGGATATAGAATTTAACGGAAGCAAAATGCAGAGTGGGATCATAATGTGCATCAGTTGCATACAGGCCAGGCGGTGTAAAATTCATTGTGTGTTTATACAAACATAAGCTATATCTAGAAAGATAGAAAAAACGCTTACCTCGGTGGTTGCCTCTGGAGATGGGATCCAAGGGAGGAGGAGGGGTGGGAAAGAGACTGACTTTTCACTAGAAACCCTTTTCTACTATTTCAGTATTTCTCTGGGTTGTATATATCACCATTCAAAAACCAATTTAAATTTTTTTTAACTAAAGAGAAGTGTGCTCTGTCTTGGATGAGGCCAAAGAAGCTTGCTTGCTTCGCCTTTCACCTCTCTCAGCCATCCATTCCTGTGTGACTTATTTCCACAGCAAGCGAAGCTGGATGCCCAACTCCGGGACAAAGAATTTTATAGGGTCGTCCCCAGCTCCAAGCCCAGGCTAGAGGATGGATACCCCGCCTTCAGAAAACCCCACATGACCGCCAAAGACCTGGGACAGCCCGGCTTCTTCCCCGCGCAGGATCAGGACCGTGTGGCCGCAGCGGAGGACGAGGGCAGGTTCACCAGTATATGCCCTTCCGTGTACCCCGTTTCCCACGGCCTGTACCTGGCCCAGGGTGTCCCCAACCGGGTCCGCCAGAGCGCCGGCTTTCCGTGCCTCCTGGAGCCCGAGCTCCAGCCTGCGCCCGAGGAGGGCAAGGGCTACTTTCTGCTGCCTGGCTGCCTCTGTCCGTATCACCATGAAGTCAAGTTCCCCATCTTGAACCGATGGGGGCCCTTGATGCCATTTTACCAGTAGGAAGGGTGAGAGCGCCTTCAGGGGAGCCACGGACATCCCCCCTCCCCCAAGGAAGTCCGCGCTCGGCACTTGGAGAAGGGACAGGAGGACTGAAAATAAAACCCTGGGAAGACGTTCCAGCAGCACTGAGGGTGTTCTACCTTGTTCCCTGGCCTGTCCCGGGACAGCATCTGCACCCGCGCACCACCTGCCGAGGGGAGAGGCAGGGACGGCAGAGGGGAAGAGGGGAGGGGAGGGGAGGGGGGGAGAAGAGAGGGAGGACAACTGGTGTGTGTGGAGGCTGGAATGTGTGTGACGTCTCATGACAACGAAGAGTCCTGCTGGAAAGATTCTTGTTTTAGGCATTTAGTTACAAAACGGGACAAATCTCATTTCCCATAGTTGTCTGAACGTTGAGGGTGACTGTAAAATGCTGTTGGGTACCCTTCCCTCAGACACTTAGTTTGCTCACCACGCCCACCCCGTAGCCCATTTCCAGGGCATCATTTTAGACTTTCCTTCTTGCTCAGTGGAGCTTCTGTAACCATATCCACGTATGAGTGGGTTAGGAAGCAGGTAGAGCTGCCGAACTAGGAACTGAGGTGCAGTGGCTTGAACATCCTAGTTTCTCCCAGTCTAACAGTTTGGAGGTAGGCGGCCGAGGACGGTGGGGTGTCTCTCCTGTGGTTCCCATCTCTGCGTCCAAGGTGGCTGCCATAGACTAAACTGTGTCGCCCCCACCCCCCAGATTCATAGCTAACCCCCAGTGTGACTGTATTTGGAGACAGGGACTTCAGGGGGTAATTAAGGCCCAATGAGGTCATAAGGGTGGGAGCCTGTTCTGATAGGATTGGTGGTCTTCTAAATAGAGGAAGAGAAAGAGAGCTCTTTCTCTCCCTCTCTCTCAGCATGTACACACACACACACACACATACACACACACACACAGGAACAACCATGTGAGGCCACAGCGGGGAAGGCAGCCATCTGCAAGCTGGGAAGAGAAGTCTCACCAGAGACCAAACTCTGCCAGACCTTGATCGTGGACTTCCAGCCTCCACAACTGTGAGAAAATAAATTTCTGTTGTTGAAGCCTGCCGGCCTGTGGTATTTTGTTATGCTAGTCCAAGCTAAGAGAGTGACTCATTCAGTTATTGACATTTTCCCAGGAGCAGAAAGCAAGAAACGCCCAGAGGAATACAGGTGTCTTCCCTTTCAGGGGCACAGACAGATATGATATTCTTCTTCGCTACCAGTCCTGTCCTCTTGGCCAGAGCTCAGCACATGGTCCCACCAAACTACAAGGAAGGCTGGGAAATTCACCTTGGTCCTGGGTGGCCCTGTGCCCAGCAAAAAATGAGAAATTAGAAGAATAGAAGGAGAGGATTATTTGGATGGATGACTATTTTTGCCACAATACATGAGAAGGCTTTCCCGTTGGAATCATCCTATACACCATGCTTCCCTAGGGGATCTTGTTAAAATGCAGATTCTGAGTTGGTTGGTCTAGGCTGGGGGCAAGATTCTGCATTTCCAATAAGCTCCCAGGTGCGTGGTGCTGCTGGAAAGGAGACTGTACCTGAGTAATGAGGCTCTCTACACAATACTCTGCGTCTTCCTTTTCTCTTCACAAGTCATTACTTATAGGTCTAATTATTTTTAATGGCTGCCTGGTATTCCATTGAATTGATAGATCTTGATTTATTCAACTATTTCCTTATTGGGGGGCAGTCATGCTTTTCCAATTTCCTTCCTACAAATTATGCAGCAATAACAATTCATGAGCATATATCCTTACAAATGATGCTTTTATTTCTGCAAGACAGAGTCTTTTTTTTTTTTAAGATTATTTATTTATTTATTTATTTATTTGACAGAGAGAGATACAGTGAGAGCAGGATCACAAGCAGGGGGAGAGGGAGGGAGAGAAATAGGCTTCCCGTGGAGCGGGGAGCCCAATGCGGGGCTCGATCCCAGGACCCTGGGATCATGACCTGAGCCGAAGGCAGACGCTTAACGACTGAGGCACCCAGGCGCCCCATCTGCAAGACAGAGTCTTACGAGTGCTGGCTTTGTGCTGGGTCAAACGGGGTGGATGCTTGGTGCTAATAGATACCACCCGAACAGCCCCCTTCCTCCTTCCCATCTCCTCACCAGCACAGAGATATTATCAATCTTTTTTTGATTTTTGCCAATTTCATGAATAGAAAATGGTATCTCATCTCGGCTTTAATGTGCAATTACTTGGCCACTAGTGAGATACAAGATCTATTTTATCTCATTAGCCATTGGGTTTCTGAGTCGCATCTTTTTTTAAGATTTTATTTATTTGTTTGACAGATAGAGACACAGTAGGAGAGGGAACACAAGCAGGGGGGAGTAGGAGAGGGAGAAGCAGGCTTCCCGCCGAGCAGGGAGCCCGAAGCAGGGCTCGATCCCAGGACCCCGAGATCACAACCCGAGCCGAAGACAGACGCTCAACGACTGAGCCACCCAGGCACCCCTGAGTCACATCTTTTGCCCTGAATTATCTTTCTTCTTAGCAATTTATAGGGTTGTTTTTTTTTCACATGGCCATGTTAGCCCTTTATCTAGGACATGTTCCAAACATGTTCTGTCTTAACTTTTAAATATACAATTTAAAATATGTAATCTGAACATATTTTGTTCTAACATAAAATGCATACCTTCAGTAGAAAATGTTGCAAAGTGAAGAAGGTGTGAAGAAGGAAAAGAAATCACCTCAATCCCACTGCTCAGTCAAGAGACAGCTCCTGTTAACACTTTGATGCCCAGGCTGCCAGACAATGGTTAGATCCTTGGGCTGTTGAGCCAGACAAATCCGGGGTTCCACCCATGCCTCAGTTTACATCTTAGCAGCTGAGGGGTATTCTAGAAAGTTATTCCATGTCTCTGAACAGCAATGTCCTCATTAGTAGAAGCACTAATAACGCTCCTACCTTTTGAGTAAACACTGTTCTCACAGCATCTGAGATATAGTCAGTGTTCAGGGAGAACTTTTATAGGCGTTTTTACAGATCTCATACTGAAGATGTAATTTCAAATCCTGCTTGGTCTTTGTGGCATTAACTCTAAGCATTGTCACTCAACCTCAAACTTTATAAACATCCTTGCACGAACATACCATAATTACTATTGTTAGACATTCAAGTTGTTTCCAATTATGTATTTTTCTCTTGCAAGTTAGGCTACAGAATAAACTTTTTTTCTATAATTAGGGAGAAAAAGAAGCAAAGTTACTGTGTCAAGGTGTATGGATATATTCTCAATGAGTATTACCAACTCGTTTTCTAAACAGGTGTTATCTTTAATATTAAGGAATCATTTCTTAGGTGTGATGATGGGATTTTGGTTATGTTAGAGAGACTTCATTTTGAAATACTTACAGGAGAGATGATGTCTGAAATTTACTTTAAAATGCTGTAGCAAAGGGCGCCTGGGTGGCTCAGTCGGTTAAGCATCTGCCTTTGGCTCAGGTCGTGATCCCAGGGTCCTGGGATCAAGTCCTGCATGGGGTTCCCTGCTCAGTGGGGAGCCTGCTTCTCCCTCTCCCTCTGCTGCTCCCCCTGCTGTGCACTCTCTCTCTCTGCCAAATGAATAAATAAAATCTTTAATAACTAACTAAATAAATAAAATGATGTAGCAAAACAGTGTTATTAGAAAAAGGGAATAAGTAAAACAAGATCAGTGACAAAATAAAAGCTGTAGCTGGTGATGGGTGCACGGAAGTCCATTATACTACTCTCTCCACTTTTGTGTGTGTTTGAAATTTCCCATCATAGACATTAAAACAGGAAGGAAAGGAGGAAGAGAGGGAGGGAAAGGAAGAAAGGAAAGGAGGAAAAAAGAAAGATGCACCCCTTTAGACTACTGCTAGCCATTTATAAGCATGTCTAATTCACACTATCCTTGTCATCCTTCCTACTCTCAGTAAGAAAGAAAAAGAGAAAAGAAGAAGGAAGGAAGGAAGGAAGGAAGGAAGGAAGGAAGGAAGGAAAGGGAGGGAAGGAGGGAGGGACAGAGGGAGGGAGGAGAGAGAAAGAGAAAGTCTGTTAGTTGGATAGTATAGTCTCTGGTCCCTGGTGAAGTTAAATAATTTCACAAATGATCCTTATCTCTTCATCGCTTGTCAAATGCTTTCTTACCAGTGTGCATTCCCTTCTCCCTTACCTGTTACAATCCTTAGTGAATCTGTTTTATCCATAACACCTTCTACGATGTGTGTAAAAGAGTGTCTATGAGTGAAAGTTTACTACTTTTAAATAACATTTTTTCCAGTGCTGGGTCATGTGGATCAGCTGACAGTTTTGTTTTGTTTTGTTTTTTTAAAGATTTTATTTATTTATTTATTTGACAGAGAGAGAGAGAGACAACGAGAGAGGGAACACAAGCAGGGGGAGTGGGAGAGGGAGAAGCGGGCTTCCCGCCGAGCAGTGAGCCCGATGCGGGGCTTGATCCCAGGGCCCTGGGATCATGACCTGAGCCGAAGGCAGACGCTTAACGACTGAGCCACCCAGGGGACTCTCAGCTGACAGATTTAACACATAGTTACTTCCACAAAATGATTTAGTTGAGGTGAAAACATTCCTAACAATAGCTACCCTTTATAGAGCACTCATCCTATGCCAGGCTCTGTGCTGCACACATCACATGCATTATTTTGTTCTCACAAACTGATGAAGAAACAGAGGGTCAGGGAAGTTAAGTGCCCTCCCAAAGCCACATGTGGCAAAGCCAGAATGTGAATCCCAGATTTATCTGATTCTAACCCCAATGGTTCAGTCATTTTTAGAATGTTGCATGTCTTTTTTATTCTACATAAATGATGGAAAGCCCTTTAATATGATAGCTGTCTTGCTCCCTAATGTCCAAGTTTCCTGGATTAACCACCCCTTTGGGGGAAACAATGGCCCAACTAAGAAGATGGGTGGATTCAGAGCTCCCTCTGGATTCTGAATCCGAGGTGTTCAGGAAGTCATAACCCCCATCATAGACTCACAAAGGCTGCGACTCGCCGTGCTTAAGATCTGAAATGGGTCGGGGCACCTGGGTGGCTCAGTCGTTAAGCGTCTGCCTTCGGCTCGGGTCATGATCCCAGGGTCCTGGAATCGAGCCCCGCATCGGGCTCTCTGCTCGGCCGGCCGGGAGCCTGCTTCTCCCTCTCCCACTCCCCCTGCTGGTGTTCCCTCTCTAGCTGTCTCTCTCTCTCTCTGTCAAATAAATAAAATAAAATTAAAAAAAAAAATCTGAAATGGGTCACAGAGACAAGTCTGGACGGCTCCATGGGAGCCAAGGGACACAGCCGGAAGGCTAGCTGGGGCCTGGGCCCCTTGCAGCAGAGCACAGGGAGGGACTGGCTCCAGCCATGAGGATGAGTGGAGACCCCAACACGCTGCACTTGAGACGCTGGCCACCCAGTCCCACAGAGAGGCCTCAAGGTCCTGAGCTGGGTCTGGGCAAGAGCCACTGAAGTCCAGAGAGCCCGCCTCAGAAATCTCTCTCTTCGACTGGGCCCTCCATCAGTCCCTGCCTCAGCCAGCTTGCTCTGTCGGCATCCAGGAGCACCCCCTGCAGGCCCTCCCCATATCTCCCCACCCTCCCCACCCCCCGCCCCAGGGATCAGAAGGCAGATGTGATTATTCCTCATCTCCTGCATAACCTGGCTCTCTGGCCCTCCACGTGAGCACGACCCTTCCGACCCGGGCTCCCCACGCCTTCCCCATTGCCCACCTCTGGGCCTATGCACTTGCTGTTTCTTTCTGTCCGCTAGAAAACCCTTTCGTCTGCTTTCCCCCAGCTGAATTACTGTCTTCTTGGAAAAGCCTGTCTGGACCATCCCCTGTCCCTAAGTTTGCCATTCCTGTGAGTTCCCAAGTTCTGTCATTCCTACATCTCTCCGAGGGGTGCTGTAAGGATTACAGGACCCAACACCTCGGGCCTGGCAGAGAAGCTCAATACTTCCTAGAACTTTTTCATTTTAATTTTTATTGTCTTTAAAATTGTTACGGTTGTATTTGTGTCAGAGAGTCTTTTATTTCTCTTTGTTGCTCCTGGAAGCTGGCGTAGAGTAGAGGCTCAATAAATATTGAAGAAATGAAGGGGGTAGGGCTTTCTAAGGGGAAGCACAGCAATGAGGTGGCCCAGGCCTGACCTCCAGGCATTTTCTATGGCAGCTCTCCTAGCTCTTAGCCCGGCAGCTTCGGGCTCCCTGCAGGGTTGTGTGTCCACCTGGGGAAGCTCTCAGTACCCGGTGATGTCAGGTTACCTGAGTGACCTTCCTGAGGATGGCCCACAGCTTTGCCAACCGAATTCTAC